CTTTCAAAAACGTGTAGGCCATCCCACCACCAATGATCATTTCATTAACCTATTTAAACAAGATAAAGATGATTGGTTTTTCATACAGAAAAAAAGTAGTGCATTTTAAGAGATTAAATCTGTATGATATAGCTTTTCCTACAGATTTAATCTCTTAAAATGCATTACTTCTTTTCAGCATGATTAGAAAGACAAAATAAATGATCCTTTTTTTTTCGAATAAAGTCGATAATATTTTAGTGAAAATCAAATGAAAATTTAGCCCGATGACAGAGTATCTATTCGAGCAATTAAAAAGTACAAAACTTCATTCAATTGTTACTTTATTTAGAAGCACCTTACATAAGTAATTTGTATCAAGAGAAGTATTTCAATATTACTTTATCTAAAAGACTGTAATTTCTATCAAGAAAAGTATTTCAATATTACTTTATCTAAAAGATTGCGAATAAGTTGAATCTTGTCTGCCACTTTAGCACCACCCAAAATTGCCAGAAATGGTGGGACAGGATTATCTAGAGCTTTTGCAAAATAGTCCAACTCTTTTTTCATCAGAAAACCTGTGGCACGTTTGTCCAATTTGATACCAACCATGGAGCTGAAAATAATCGCAGTGATTACAACAGAAATATTTAAGTATGGAGAAATGAGTAACACATTTAACAACCACACTTTTTATCAAACTTTTTTTTAGCAAAAGTACTTGTAGTCCTTAGATGACATTATAAACTTTTAAATCGAATTAGATTTTATCACAAACATAATAAAATCTAACTCGATTTAAAACACTATAAAACAATGTTTGATGGGAAATAAAGCCAGTGGAGAGCCTAAAACAACATCATGTATCTCTTCTTAACAGCAAATATTTGGTAGACAACAGTTGTATCAGTGATGAGAAAAGATAAATTTCTGAACATTATTATTCCGTATGTATATAACAAAGTAAAGCAATATTTACCTGTGCGCACGATGTGCAGTACCAAATGCATCATTCACATAAACATCGCCATGTTTTGTCAGAGATGCACGAAACTTGTCGATATCAGCTTGTGATGCCTTGACCTAAAATTAAATAAAATGAAAAAAAAATCACAACTTATTAAATATGCAAAATTATTGCAACATCAATTCAATTATTGTCAAGAATAATATTTATTCAACCAATTTCAACACATCCACACAATCAATTCATGATCATGCATTTCGTCGCTAACTTATTCAACTCTAGATTAAACAATAGAGAGATTTGATATATTGAACCAAATAATTCATTTAAAAAAATCGGAACAATAGAATATTCACTTTTCTCAGATAAGTTCATTTCAAATAATCATACCTTTTCGCCTTGCTCATTTACACCTTTTCCTTCTTCTTCCAAATAAAATCGGAGATTTTCAAGCAAAATAACACTGCCGGGAGCAGGATCAGCTGTGGCTTTTTCAGCTTCTGGTCCAACACAATCATGCACAAATGTGACATTCCTATATCAAAATTACTATTCGAAAAATTTGGGAATATCAGAACTACTATTCGAAAAATTGGTTTTTTATTTTCTGGATAAAGAAAAGCAATAACACATAACACACAAATATGTGGACTGCCCTTTTCTTCTCTAAATAAATTACTGAAGTAAATTTTGAAACAACTATATCATTGCTTACTTGCCGAGAGCGTTTTTCAGTTCCGCTACAACCGGTTCCAATGTGAATTCCATTTTTTTCATCCCATCCGGACGTCCCAAATGTGACATCAGTATAACAGCTTTTGCACCATTATCTAGTGCGTACTGCAATAGTATAATGCCAGTGAAATTTAACAAATTCGTAACAGTTCTGTGTGCATGAACTGTTTTTTTCTGCTTGAAACCAAATTTCACTCATAAACATCTCTGTGGAAAATAAGGCAAAGAAAATATGGATATATTGATAGATAAATGTTGATGGATATTATCAGAAAAAGTCAATTTTAATAATCAAAAAATCATATTAAACTTACCTTAATAGTTGGTACTGCAGCCGTAATACGTTGGTTGTTTGTAATCTTGCCATCTTTAAGCGGCACATTAAAATCGACTCGAATCAGGACCCTTTTATTCTTTACATCCACTTTATCGATCGATAATTTATTCAGAGTCATTTTCTTCTGTATTCCACGTAAAAATGTTCGGAGGATAATGCTCGAGATTCTAGACATAAATTTACAGTTAGATTAGCAAGCATTAAAACGAAATTTGTTTTTGTAATACGGCATGAAAATATCAAATGATTATTGACTGGTACTTATTAGAATACACTCTGTATGTTATAAACTTTTACATGTAATCAAATTTTTTAGAAATCAGATATTCATTCAAAGAAGCGGAAAGAGAAAATCTTGTCAATAAAAACCTTATGAAGTCAAGAACAAAACCGGCGAGACAATTTTACGTCTTATCGTCAATGTCCATTCTTTATTCATTTTACGTCTAAGATTTTGGTCAGTTTTCGGTTAAAATTACGGCAAGCTACATGCCACTTACGTCATTTGTTACTTGCAATCACAATATGTGCACTTTGACAATGGCATAAAACAGGTTTTGAATGAAGTAATAGACTAATAAGCAAGTAACCAGCAGTTTCGGAAACAGATTACAGCAAAAATCCCTCGCTTATTTGGTAGATATCTTGAAGTTAACATCAACTTAAAGCTATATTAAAGAAAGAGAAACGTAATCTCACGTATTATAGAAGTGCATGTAATGAAAAGATGAATAACGAAGGAATAAGAAATATACGTAGCAGAGAGATGTGTTTGACAAAGGTTATGCATAGCAGCGGAGTACACGTAAAGACAGTACAGGGAAGGGACACCAAAATGAACTTCAGTAAACTGAATCACTTTTTCTTTCCCCATTGTACATTTTTATAAGTTGAAATTTCCAATTAACCATATCGAAAGGAACAACAAACGAAATGAGGAAATACCACTTGCGAACGGGAAAGAACGCCAAGCAACGGAACGTACAAACAAATGTGTTTTGCGCCTCAACCGGTCGATTTTAAAGCTCCTTTCTATGTATGCCTGTATATGTTTGTATGTCTGCATGTGTTCTTCCCTCGCCCTCTCTCTCCATACATGCTATGTCTGTTTTATATATTCCGGAACAGTAACATAACTCATATCCCGCGATTCATTATTTCCGCGAATTTAGGAAATGCAATCACGGATGTACTGTAACGATGTTCTTCCTACAGTGGTATGTATTGTATATCCAATATCAGCGTAATGTGACCGTCACGAAAACATGATAACTGCTGAAATTTACGAAGTGATGACCTCGAAAAGGACAAATACGATAGCAATTTTGATTTTAGCATTTACGGTTTTGCCTACCTATGTAACAAATATACTCAATCTAAGGTACATATGACAAGCCATCATCCTGTCTTGTTCTCGAATGACCTCGCGAACTTCCTTTAACTTAGAGACGTGAGATGGAATGAAGACTGAATAACTCCCGTTACCGAATAAGCTCATATTAAGTTAAGCTGTTTATTTTTTATTTCTATATAGAACCTAGTTATTTTAAGATGAAAAAAAATGAAGCTATTCATTTTACCATTTTAACTACTTGAAGGCAGAAGGAAGAAACTATAAACATACAGGTAACCAGTCATCTCCACTTATCAGTATACCATATTTTGGAATGTTGAAAACATGGTATTGAAAGTAGCACCTTACGGGAATATACATGTGCACTTGAAATGATACAAATGGAACAGGGAAGTATTTGGAATCTTGAAACTGTAATCCTATCTAGCCATCTATTTCGACCTAATTGTATTTGTGGTCAGAATCTCATGAAATATTATCTAGTATATCTACTGTAAACGAAAGAGGACAATAACACGGAAAACTAGCCAATTTTATTTTAAAGATGTTTTTCTTAAGAAAAAATACAAAATGTTTCGTTACTGCAATCGCGACAAATCACCGGATTAGGTCTGCTGACTTACTTTCTTTTCTTTCCAAAACATCGAACAACGTATTCAGCAATATCATATCATGAAATGCTAAACCAATCATTTCTCCTATATAAGTTGTATGTCTCATAAATTACTCGAAAGTTTTTTCTTTATTTAAAGCAGAACCTTCGGAAGAGGTTGTGCCATACAACAATACAGAAAATTTTGTTACGCATGATGGAAAAATGATTGTGAAAAATACTGCATCAATGAATAAAATAGAGCTACTCCACAAATAAATGCTATCAAAAATAAATAACGATAGAAGCTAAGTTTAGCCATGAAGAAGGCAATTCTACTATTAAAAAATAAAAAGAATTTCAATGGTAAAATAAAAATTGATATTAACAAATGGTGAAGGAAAAGAGAAAGTAGTAAAAATTTAATCCAACATCAAAGAAATTCCAAAAATGGTCATATTGTAAGCTCAGTAGAGATTTTTATATCGTATTTTCGCGAACGATATTGAAACTTCGGCAGTGATTACATTTCATGGGCAATTATGCCCATCTTCACCACTTGTGAAACTTATCAATTAATATCAACATGCGACTGACAATAAAAGTTTTTACAATTAAAACGAAAATTATGCCAGTAAGGTTCATGTGCTTTCACCCTCCACCTCCGGTACCACCATAGCTTCCGTCCGGTATGTAGAATCGTGCTTAGCCAATATTCTTAACAGCGGTCTCATTTTCATCCACCACTGATGTTTCGGTACACGATGTTCGAAATCAGTTTCCAATGATAAATCTTCCACTGGTGTGAATACCGTTCGACGACCCTGAAAACAAATGGTATTTGTAAATACAAGCTATTATCACCACAAATATTAGATTCTCATTCAAATCTTACGTGGTGAAGATCTTATCTATTTAATCAGATGTTCTTACCAGTCAGTTACTTAGCAGTTATGAAATTAAACAATGAAATAAGTGTTTGGTTACCATCAGTCCTAACAGTGTGGCACTATCCGGAGAAATCGCATTTACAATACTGGTTTTCGGATCAATATATTTCAGTATTTGCGACATAATGAACTCTAAAGCACGGGCTGCTAGTTTTGTTCCCATATTACGATCGAATGGTGTTGGGTTACCACCTTGTTGAGCATGTCCTAATACATTAGTTCTGAAAATAGAATCCAAAATATTAAAGAATGATTTTTTGATTTCACTTATTTTGAAGACAAAAATAGAGCCACACTAACTGTGCTGGTAACAACATTCACATTTCGGGAGAAATTCCAAGTTTTCTAGAGATGGAAATTATAAGGAAGATTGAAGAAGGTAACCTTGTAGAAAACGCCCCATTTCCTTCTTCAGCAAACAACTGATTCACAAACTCTGTAGTATAATTTTTGTTAGCGCATTCGTTACGTACAATTAAGTAACGCTGCACACCAGTACGCATTTTACGACTGATAACCTGAAACAATGGAATTTTCCAATAAAATTAACCTTTTACAATATTAAAATTACACGACTCCTGAAAGCATCCTGCGATAAAAGTTCAAGTCGTCTATGAGATCACAAATGTTAATGTCATGTATTTTAAAAGCACTAAAATTCAGAGCAAAATCAAAGCACTAGTCTCTGTCATCGAGGTGTGATATAATTTGAAAAACTATTTCAAACTTGCAATCTCCATTTACACCGCATGGTCCGCAAATGATTTCATAAACTGTCGGTAGTTTGATTTCTTTACTGAATCTTTTTAGTTCTTTCAAGTTTCACGACACATGTCCTGATGTTTCTGTTTCTTGACATTTAGCAATTTTCTTCTAGGTCGTATCAGTTGAAATCTGATCAATCTTACCTTTACATCATCCATAATATCAGAGACATTAAATCGTTCTTCGAAGATATAAGCATTATCGGCTCCAGACGCCAAAGCCGAAATGGTTGCCAAATAACCACAATATCCACCCATTGTTTCGACAATAAAGACTCGTTTCTTAGTACCAGTAGCTGATAGCTTGATTTTATCAATCATTTCGCAAATTTCGTTAACAGCTGTATCTGAACCAAGTGAAAGTGACGTTCCCGGAACATTATTGCTAATTGTGCATGGGATAACACACATAGGTATTCGTAGTGATGGATGTTTATCACGCGCACGTGAAAGAAGTAAACAGGAATGGAATGCCTGGAAAACAATTTCTTACTAATTTCTGATACTCATGAATAATGCAATATGATTCAAGAGTATACTTCGAAGCAAAGATTTCAAAGGCAGATAGCAACAGAAAAAGTAAATAAATATTACTTTTCATGATAATTCAAAGATCACCATTACCAATTAAATCTTGTAGACTGCTGCAGAAGCTTAGCATCTAAAGAATAAATTCAAAACCAACGGAAAGAAAAAAAAACCATTATTAGCAGTTTCTTACGTTAGTATTTAGCCGTATTCATCGTAGAATCATGCTACTAATGCTATTAGTAGAACTCACATTAACAGAAGGTAAGCTTTGTTATTAAACATTAGATTATTTTCTAGAGCAGAAATGCGAAAACTTAGCCATATTTACTATGAATCCTTACCTCGAATCCCCCCACAAGTAATAATCCATGAAAATTGTACTTTTCAAACGCATCAGCAACTTTATCCATAATCTTGTCGGGTAACTGCTTTTGTGTTCCAAGAAATGAGCCACCGTACATTACCCAGTTACTGACATCACCCCAAGCCATGCTCTGAAGCAATTTTTTTATAAAGAACAATCAGTAAACAAAGTTGCAAAATAAATTGATCACAACACCTATCTTTCTTTTCTTCCACTTCTCCATAAACCTTCAATCTTCTAAGATCGATATGCAATCATCTATTTGCTTACCTGCACCTCTCCCCGGCAAAGCCCTTCAAACGAATTCTTTATGCCATAAACATTGCATCCATGATAAAGAGCCATACGAACATACGAACGCACTACTGCATTCATCCCTGCAAATAAAAATGAAAAACTTTTTCTCTAAGCAAAACATTTATGAATAGTTATGGCACGCAAGAAAATGAAGAGATACTAAGGTATCACTTTTAGAAAAAACAATTAATTACCTTAAATTTATTTTCCTCTTCTCCATTAAGCAAAAAAAACTAACCACCAGCAGGTGCACCAACATTAATTACAGCAACGTTGTAATTAGGTACATTTTGATCAACTTTTTTCGGCTCCACTTTTGTAAGCAAACGGTAAGTTTCAAGATTTCGCTGGAAACTTCGACCTCTTAATTTCACAGCTGTTTCCCAGTCACGTTTGTCCATTGCCTTTTTTACCTGAAAAATTTCCGACTGCTCCATTCAATTTGAAACAAAAAGGTTAATCTATCAACACTTCAGAACTAATTGAACTCTTCATGTTTCCAGCATAATTTGTTTTTCGCTCATGTAGATATAAGTCAGTTGCATCATCCGGTTTTCTAAAAAGATAGCAAAAATTACCGCTAGTGTACGTTGAACACATTGCATGAGTGGAACGCGTACAATCACATTACCATCAATCGAAACAACACAAGGCTCCGACTGCGGTGTCATTTCCATCAAAGCAAGTACCGCTTCTGCACCCATACGACATCCAAGCAATCGGTCAAACGCTGATGGATTACCACCACGTTGTACATGACCCAAGACGGTCACACGTGTATCGTAATGCAAAGTTTCTTTGACTACCGCACGAACCTAAACGACAGCAATTCATAACTGTTCTATAAAGAAATAATTTTTAAAAAAAATTATGGTGAAATATATACCGATTCAGCAGTAATACATTTTCCTTCCCTATCCAATGCGCCTTCCGCAACAATTACAATATTTAAACGTGACCCCGCTTCACGCATCATTTGCAATTTTCGGCATAATACTGCTGGCCAATCCGTTGGTACTGGCCATTCCGGTATGAAACAGAAATCTGCTTCAGAAGCCAATGCAGCAACCAGCGCCAAGTAACCACAATGACGCCCCATCACCTAAACTTGCAATAATAAAGTCTTTTCGGGTTCATCATTATTTTCCCCGTCATGTTAATAGAACTATAACTCTTTTCATTTGATTTTCTCTTCTTTCACATGGATTATAAATTTGTTTAATTTCACTACATCCCATGAATTCGAACGAAATAGTTGCATTTATTAATTCTTTTTATTTTATCCATTTTTGTAAAAAACATAAGAACCTCAATAACGAATGTACGTTGATGACTTTGAGCTGTTGACATTACGCAATCGATTGCCTCGCAGATACGTTGCAGTGCAGTATCAGTACCAATAGTCATATCTGTGCCGCAGAAATCATTGTCAATGGAACCAACAAGTCCAACAATCTGAAAAAATAATTAAATGAATCCCAGTTATGGTAATCACATGTAAATTTAAAACAATTTTATGTATACAATATGATATGTAAGTTACATGTACATGTTTATTTCATATGGTAATCGCGAATGTAACACTCAAATCTCAGAATCCTAAAGCTTTCTAACCAGAGGAAAGATCGATTGTACTATGCGTTTTCAAAGCTATACGAAGAAAAAATTTAATCTCAAATTTTACCTGGATGTTACTGCACTCTATCGCTTCTTCTTTTGTTATTTTTCCATCTGACAAAAGCTCTTTCACCAAATCATGCCATTCTTGTCGGAAAAGATTAGCGCCGGTTAATGAGCCATCACCTACATGAAAAAAAAATGAATTGTTACTATCCACAATTGCACAATATAATCATGAAAAGTCCATTCATATCTAAAAAAAGCTTAAAATTAAAACTGAACAGTTTGATTTCGATATTTTAATATGACCTTAATGAAGGAATTAGGAAAGTTTTTTATATTGATTGTAACAGTAAGATTATCAGACACTAATTCTTTTCTTAAAAGAGAAAAGTCACGCTACAAATAAGAACGAGAAAGAACAGGAAAAACAAAAATAAAGTTGAGCTGCTTCGTTAAAGATAAATATTCAACGGATATTTAAACTATATAAATAGCATAGTTTCAGTATCCGTTGCACTCTAATATCTTTTAACCATCGAATAATAAGATTTCTCATTCAGAAAGCTACCACTTAGAAAAACAAGGCAGGACTGGTCATGAAAATCCGAGAAAAGCAAATGCTAAACCTACCTCCAATACATACAAGGTTAGTGATACGACGTTTAATAAGATTTTCAGCAGCTTGCAAACGTCCCCATCGCTCCCGAAAATCCTTGCAACGTGCTGATCCAATAACAGTGCCTAAATAGCACTATTACTCAACGATCCATAATTTTTAGAAATGAATATCTAAATAAGTTCATATATAACCATTAATATTTTTTAAAATTAACTTGCCTCCACGTTGTATGATATCCGACACTGACTGCCAATCTGCTTCCTTTATATTATCACCACCATCCACCATTCCTTGATATCCTTCATAAATGAGAAAAACTCGACATCCAAGGTAAACACCCATTCGAACTACTGAGCGTACAGCACTGTTCATTCCTTAAAAATCGAAATATCTTTTTGTCTGCTTTACTACCCATCACCATTATCCTTGAACTTTGAAATATAGCACTTATGAAATGGAAATAACTCACAACCAATGCTGCTAAACTATGGTGATTTGAAAAAAAAAAAGCAAAAATACCAGAAGCATCACCACCACTGGTGAAAACCGCCATAGTACGACCCTTGTAAATTTGCGGTGCAATTGATGTACCTTCCCGACCAGCCGATGGCACAATAGAATCTGGTCGTATCGAAGATTTCATCTGCTTCATACCAGCATTCACGAGACCAAAATCATCATCGGGCAAATCCATCGACATCGATATTATTTTCTAAATGACAATCCAGTCATAGAAAAGAAAAAGCGTGATGCTAATCTACCTCCTTTTCAATTTTCCTCTACAGATCCAGCGCAAGCCCTCACTCATTACTGCAACGATTTGATTGCATGAAAGAGTGAAGGTATCATTTCTTGAACTTGTACCAAAACTGTTCGATCACTAATTATCGGCTGTCCAAATGCTGTCTAAAAAATGCAATCTCTTGTGTTCCTCAATATTAAATTATCAAAACTTAAAGAATTTCAAATAATTCACTTCATTTAAAGGTACTCCTGCAAAACTATAACAATCGTTCAGTAAATGGTATTATTATAATATAATGTCTCTCTCACAAAATTCATATGAAACAAGAACAAATATCGAGTAATTTGATGAATTATACATGTCAACTGGAAATATTTACACATTACTTCAAATACATTTATTTAATATAAAGCCTGGCTTAATAAGGAAAGATAAAATGATGAAAGGATAAAATCAGTGGAATTATTCCAAGAAAAGTAACGAAACAATAACGGGTTCAACATATCACTCGACCAGCAATACATATTAAGCAATGATACTTGTTGAATTGAAGATTCCCGACAGATTTGTCAGAAAGCTTAAAAATTATTTTTAAAAAATTGATGTTATATCAATCAGTTATATTTTTTCAATCCTTTTTTTTTCCTTCTAAGAACGATTGTAAAAATGTTCTTATGGTGCGAAATGCTTTTGTGAAAAAATACAATGCTCCTAATAACTCGACAGTAACTAAATCACTTGCTCACACAGATTGAGCCAAATACAGCTGCATTTACTCTTTTTCTATGTTTAATACATTTGTGGTTTTAGATGAAGATTGGAGGTACAAAATGCCAAAGTCTAAGCCAAATGAAAAATGAGAGGTTTAAACTACGACATTATTAGGGGAAAAAATTTTCATAGCACGAATAGGGATCAGTGCCACCTATGATGATCTAACGTTTACTGTAAATTCAATTACATGTACATTCAATGAAATTAACATCTGCACGTAACAACAGTTTTATAGTTTTACTCCACTTACGATAGTATGATGGTATGAGCTTAGTTTTAAAAATATCTCATACAACATGTATTGGCCATCTGATATAAATGAAATATATGCTAATTAATTGAAATGATGAGAAACAGCAGTCGAATAACGCACAGAATTTAGTGCTCAGACCAATATATGTACATAACTAGCGATCAAATACTATGATCGCTAGCAGATTTTTACGTATATATATTATAGTGATTTCGAATCGCCAAAGGAGCCTCATAAAGAAAAGATGAAAAAAATTAACGCATATTATGTAATAACAAAAAATTATAATTGTTCCTGCTAATTTACCTGATTTGATGGCACCCGCATGAAAACCTAAAACTGTAGTTTTTTACATTATCTTATAAATTTCAATTCTTCTAATCGCCGATTGGTAAACCTGAATGTTAACTTCTAATTTTAGATCCTGCTTTGTCCCTTCGATTTTTTCAAGCTTCATTTAAGATTTTTTTTTCCTAAATTGCAGAGCAAAATGTTGAGTTCATATCTCGCTAGTAATTGCAACAGATTCTCTCAACTCCGATTCACCAGCAGCATCTTTCGATATTGAAGCTTCAATCCTCTTTACTAAAATTGTTGCTCTATAGTAAAACTTTAGAATTTGTTCTTCAATATATGTAAATGACATTATTTTATTTCTTTTTTCAAACTTAATCTTCTCAAAATTTATTGTTTGGATGTTTGGAATAAAATTCTAATTATGAGGAAAAAATATAAAAAAGACTTTTTTATACTTTATGAAAATCGATCTTTTATAAAAAAGTCCGAATCATATCATAAACAGTAAACAAAATCAAAAAATATTTTATCGAAACGATCAGAATCCTAGAGTAAAAATTTCAAATTATAATACCTTCTTTTTCTATGCTTTCAAGAAACACAGTTTTCATTGATTCATCCAAATCTGGACGATACAGACCAAGAAGAGTTGCATCTGCTTCCAACAACGTTAACTCTTTTGTGGAACCCAAAAACAGCTCAGAAAGTTCAGGGTCATGCAAACGAAGAAGAACCTTTGCGCCTATTTTATAACTTCTGAAGCATATAATTTTAAACTGTTGGTTACTTGGGCACACTTTTTGTTATGTAAGGAGAAAAGAATATGTAATGATATTCTATGTAATATATGGCGGAACAAACATCAAAGTAGGAAATGACAAAAAATAATGATTACAGTAAAAGTTTACATTACCATTTGATGAAAAGTAGCATTCAAATTAATCCTACCTTTTTATTCAATTAAATGATTACTGAAATTAAATTCAATTAAATGATTATTGAAATTCCAATTACCATATTCTTACAAGAAAATTTGTAATAAGTTGCAGCTTGCTTGGAGTTTCATAGATATGAATCAACTGCGCATCAAAATTTTCCAAATCATTGTCAATAAAAGATCGATAGAAAGCGTGCCCGGTTTAAATCTCGTGGAAATAAGTGCAATATCACAAGGGAAAAGAGAAGTCAATTCAAAATTATAGACAACAATAAAATTTAATTCCATTTTATCAAAAATATTGTTTCAACCTCGAGATTAATTGAGAATCAAGATGAATCAACTAACTAACTCGTTTTTTATGATTGGTGCTTTACACACGGCGTTAAATTTCAATCCCATATCAATATATAAATCATCCGCGATTCGGCGTACAATTTCACCTATAACTATTCGTCCTTCAAAATCAGCGAGCTGTACAAATTTTGAACGTCGAAATAATTCCGCAAAACGTTGGCGATCCTAAAACAAAAAGTATAAAAAAAATTGAATTTTACATTTATAAAATAGGAAAACCTATTTAAATCATTATTAAAAACGACACTACTTTAAAATCGTGTAAAAAAATAGTTTAGTTGTAAAAAAATAGCTTTTTGGGATCAAATAATTTCCCTTTCCCATTTTCCCGGAACAGAAAATTTCTCCGAATTGTTGAATAAGAATATTTTTTTGAAAAATAATAAATCAATATCACATGTAAATAAATCTAGCTAGAAAATTTGAAGATTTTGCAGATTTCAACTGGCTTCTTTTGAGCAAGACAATGAAGGATAAAAGGTAAAATAAGAAAAAGGAAAGGAGAGCTTTTAAGATTATTCTTCATTCAACAAATATAAATCACAGCATATTTTACTATGTCATATGGCGTCAAATTCTCATATACCTGTATGAATCTGCGTCTACTAATATTAAATAATATATTCCTTTTGAAGAATAACAAGTTTGATTGGAAAATGAGTATTATCCAACAAACTAGAGAATAGTCCTACAAATAAGTTACCTATATTATATTCTACGAGCCATTTTTCAGAATATATCTCCAAAGACTTGAGAAATGCACGAAAGGTATGAAAAAAATCCCTTAAATCATAATAAATCAATTTCCGGACAACATGGAATATAAATCAAAAAGTATAAAAACAGGATGGCTTGAAAATTTTAAAATTTTGCAAACCTGAAATTTCAAAGCCATTTAAAAATTACAGTATGTGTAAAAGAATTGGATGTAAATGTCAAAAATTAGAAAATCATTTTTGGAAAATAGGACTGAAAACATCATTAAAGAAATTTCCAAATCTCGTGTAAAATCAATTGCCTATACAATAGTAAAAATCCCTTAATAATAAACAAATACAAATATGAATTCAAGATTTAGAAGTAAACACACCTGTTTGATTTCATTTTCGTTCATCATCCTCCCAGAATATTGCTGCTTTTTAGCGGAAGAAATCACTGATGATGTGGAAGGTACTGCTTGATTACTAGAAGTACCACCATTGCTCCTCCAACATCCGACTCGTTTCAAAGGGTGAAATAGTTGGAAGCAATGAATGCGCAATGGAAACATCGGCCTTTTCTGTAAAGAAATATATAAGAAGAATCAAAGGTCAACATAAGAACAAACTTTCCTCTGGCAATGATCAAGTCATCCGACCTGTCCAACAACAAGAATCTCCCACTACACCTCAAATTTTACAAAATAACTGACGACTCAAAATTTAACGCATTTTGTTCCGGCTTAATGTGACAATGTGTTAAATTTCCATCCCATAAATTTTCTGCTGTGGTTTCTTTTTCTTATTTTTATTTTTGGTTATTTCTCACAGAATTTATGGAATTTTGGTAGTGTTTTGTTAAAATTTTACACGGTTTAGTGAGAAACGATACGATGGAGAAATATCCAAAAGTTTTTGTATTGTTGAACGGTTATTGTAAACAGGCAAAAAGGAACGGTTGTTCGGAAGCATCCGGTACTGTAGCATTAATTTTAACTGAAACGAGGAAAATCCTGGTGGATTGTGGTGATCCGTGGAATGGTAAATGTATTATCCAAGGTTCATTGACTTATCATTCTTCGTTTTTTTTCATTTATTAAGAATCATATTTGAATTAAATGACTTGAAAAATTTTATTGGGATTGAAAGACACCAAAAGATTTAGAATTAGAAATGGAAATGGTGCGATATATTAGTATTAATAATTACGAGAAAGACACTATATGCATCGATATGATTTTAAACTCACTAGAAATTTGAAATTCAACTTTCCATATATTTATTAAATGAAGGAAAGTCGAATAATCAATGTTAAACGACTTTGATCAAACTGACTTACAGACAATTTTAAAGATGTTATATTCTTGAAAGGATTTTTGAACGTAGGAGTAAATAATAATCATCTGATATTTTTGGAGAGTTTTTGCAGCGCTTGCGAATTATTCGTTAAATTGTAATGATATTACTGATGTAATAATAACCCACGGACATAGTGACCACTGTGGTAATTTATCACTTTTCCAACAAGCCAAAATTTATATGGGTGATGACGTGGCCAAGAATGGTATTTATGAAATTTATGCGGTGCGATTGATTATTCTATTTTATTATTCTACTGAATATATTTTGCACTTTTTTTTTATAAATATACTTTCTCGTCAACGACGATATACTGCTGGACGATCAAGTCAAAAACTTCTTCCTTCAATGCCAAAATTAATCCCTTCTCATTAGTATTCTGTTACTTCATAAATCATTTGTTTAGATTTTTTTGAAATTCTAAAGCATTATATAATTGAGAGAGTGGAGAATATTAATTAGCAGGACCTAATATAAAAATATTGTTCTGTTATATCGTGCAACTAAAACTGTATGATTATTATTTTATAGGACTTTTGGACATTAGATGATTCTGTGCAGATACGTTTAACTCCTGGCCATACTGATCATGATCGTAGTGTCATAGTAACAGACACCGAATACGGAACAGTTGCTATTGTAGGTCTGTAACCATTTTCATTCTTTTGGTGATAGAAGAAAGTTTATTAGAGATTAAAATAATATTTTTAGGTGATATTTTTGAAGAGGAAAATGATGATAATAGCTGGAAAACAAACAGCAAATACCCGGACAACCAACAAAAAAGCCGTAAAATAATATTAAGTGAAGCAGATTGGATTATTCCTGGGCATGGTGGAATGTTCAAAAATAAATTAAAAAACATTTAATGTGCTCTTTTCATGTGAACGCATTTTTTGAGCATCATTAAGGGCTAATTTGAACGTTTAACGGGAACTGACTTATTGCTTAAGGTAATTGACAACTTGATGTGCTGGTAATCATTTTCGTCTGCTTATCAATACATGTATATCATATGAGGTACAATGTAAGTAGTATTTGCACAAGTTACTTTCCAAATTTTAGTCTCTTTTCAAATGATACTGTTTAGCTGTTGCCATTGAATCAGATATTACTGTTGTTGTTTTTTACTTGGTACCGCTTTATTTGTTATCATTTTATTATTTTATTTGTTAACACTTTATTTATTGTTTATTCCACTATTTCTCACCTTATGATTACTATTACTAATACTTTGTCCTACAACGTATTGTATAGGTCTCATATTATTTTTTCCTTTGATTATTTATGATAGATGGCAAATACTGATTATGTCAGTTTATATTAAACTCGTTATTGTGATCAATTACGCCTACAAATTAAAAAAAATGAAAGTATCGATGAAATGCGTTGAGAAAAACAAAATGTAAATTTGAAGCTGAGTACAGCAGTCAGATTGAATATGAAAAGCTGACATTAAATATCGATGATGATGATTTCTATGCTTCCTTCTTTTTTTAATGTAAACCAATCAGTTTCACATTTGGTTGATTGTATTATTCATTATTTCGTCCGTCAATCCAATCTTTTTTCAAATAGCAATTTTGTTTTATTAGTTTTTTTGAAATTAACTAAAAACGATTTTATATAGCTGATTGCACCTGTATTAATCTTTTGTCTAATTTTAATTGACACGTTCTGTGTCATTTAAAATTAATAAATATTTGTGCGTATGTAAAAACCGAAACATGTATGAAATGAAAGAAACATTATACCTAAAATATGTTATTGGTGCATGAAACATATATTAATTTTTATCCAATATTTTAAAATTAATTTCTTTACCCAACAATGCTTTAAACTTATTCCATTGTATTTTTGACTGCGAAATTTTATTTTTATGAAATAAATTCCAATTTTATTTATATTTTCTTCAGTTCTAATCCATTTAGCAAAATAGAAAATTATATGTGATCTTAGATAAATAAATGTATGGTAAGTTTCTTCATTGAAGGCACAAATTTTATCAAACTGGAATAGGCCATGTTGACCATATAATTTAGTTTTTTTAATTAGAAAAATTCAAAAAAATTATGCATTGTTAAAAAAAAATTTCTGTTAGCCTACGTACTAACAGAAGATTACTGGCATATCTTTGCCAATTCCTATATATCTTTTAACTTGTTTTTCCGAGAGCATATTGGTGTTGTCTACAAATGCCAAATCAAATTTTGAATTTAGGAACTATCGGGATGGAATTAATTAGAAAAATTTCATGGAACGAACTCAGATTATAGCTTCTTTTAACGCGTAATAAGGCTTACACTTTAAATTGATTCAGTGATACAAATTTATCATTCAAAATTGGTATGGTAAGTATTGAAAAGAAAACGAATTATAATTTCTTTCTGCCTGTAACAATAAGCTTACATTTCAAGCGAGAGTGAGGTACGGTAAGCGTGTCACGTTGCTTCGTTGAGACATTCCGGAATGGGATCGAAACATGGCATTAGCTGACGTTGCGTGGAATTGCGCTCCTAAATTTGAATGTTTGTCGTGATTGATCGCGGAGTTTTTCCACTATCCGGTGGCTCTTTATTCCCGGGGTTTTTATGGGGATTCGAACTTTTCGAGATTTTCAGAGTAAGTTATGTTGCCCTCTGCTTTCCTCCACTCTTTTCACCTTCTCTTCCTGCTTTATTTATACGATAAGAGAATAAGTTTTTGTCGCACTATATTGAAAAATTTTAGCAAAATGTAGTTAATAATTGGTTTATTTTTATTGATAAAAAATTGATTTACCAAAGAAGAACGAAAACATTTGACCAGAGATGAGCGGAATTGAATAGTGAGAAGAGAAGGAAATTTATCATTACCCCATTACCTAGTTTTGTAAGTATCAAAACATTAATCCTTTATCGTCTTATTTTTTGTGTAAGGAATTCTGTTTGAATTTTCTGATTTAAATAATGTTTATGCCAATCATGAACATTTAATGATAATTGCCAATAGATTAACCATTCTGACGAAGTGATTTGTATACAGATAGTATAATACAGCTTAGTCGATCAATCATTTATATTAAATGAATAAGACACCAAACAAATGATAGCGGTCAAATGGAACCTAGAATAACTGAACGAAGTGATCAGTTTGGATTTCCATGAATACTCACTCTTTGAAATATTAAAATTATATAAAAGTGCTAATCCAAATATGCTAGTCCAAATAAGTGATGGTGTGAAACTATTGTTATTTTTTAACAAACTTGAAATACTTTGGGGTGGGATAACTAGTTAACTAATCAGCTGTTTGGCGTATCGATTAATATAATAACAAATGTCTTTGTTTCGCGCTACTACTAGACTTACCAGATATGGAATTTAGTAACTTTACAAGAAAAAATGATTTTTAAACTTATACAGAGTTTAAACTCATTAGATGTGCTGCTTCGCATCACATAGTGTATGTTTATATCTTAATTTTACTTTTTAAATAGTTACGTAAAAACTCTAATTGTCACTTAAAAAAGTGCCAGAAATGCGTGACATGTTGATTCGATTTTAAGCTTTAACTGCTTCCTTTTTTCAATTTACTATTGAAAGGAATTTAGATATGTATTCTTGTATCTTTTATTTTTTTATGTCCCATCACATATTTCGATCATATTTTTCCGATAAGCCGGTGTTTATACTTCCAACACACGACGATGCTAATTTTATCAGCTCAGACAATGTTTTTATTTCTAAAATTTCAGTTTCCTTTTTGTTTATAGATGAAATTATATGGTAGTATCAGGTAAAGAGAACTGGTATGAAATCAGTGAGATTAGATTTCCAATTAAATTGTGAGAGATGTGAAAGATGGATGGAAGAATGGAGAAGAGCTTATATTGTTTTGGCTTATGATAATCTTCTTAATTATTTGAAACTGTGAAAGTGAATAAAAAAAGGAAAACGATACGAGTTCAAAATAATCTTAATATTGACAAAAAAAAGTTAAAAGGAGGAATTGTTTAGTGAATCCTTAATAGCAAATATACTAATTTGTTAAATTTTCCTTAAAGAAATTGTTTACCCGCATAAGTATATTTAATTGCAGTTTAAATCATACTCAGTGTCAATATTTGTATACAGGAATATGCGAAAAAAATCCGTATATGCCTACATTTTTTAAATGAATCGATATTCATTTAAAAATTCACATACTGAATTATTTGCAGAAAACAAATATTAGTTTTTTTTTTTTTATTGCAGATGGGAGAAGGTGTGTATATAGAGGAAGCTCTTCAAGATGTATTAAAAGAGACAGATCTAGTAAATTTCGAGCGAAAACTCTGCGTGGAATTACAGTTATCACGTCTGGAGCATTTTGATCATGTTACCGATGACGAATTAAAAGTATGGTGTTTTATATGTTAAATTATAAAATAAAAGTTGGCATTTTTTCAAAATACATCTCTGGGTCAAAAGCTCTGAATCCGGTCCTGAAAAATTTTTTCTAATTCTTATCACTGAATCGGGAAGTTTCGACATTCAGGTAACTTGTCTTCTATCGTCGCAAACAATAAAATCGTTGTGTTTTTTACTTAAATTAAAACTTTAATAACGTATTTTAGTCATATACGGGTCTTTCGCAACCTGCCATCCGTAGATTGCGAGTTGCAATTGCGGAGAAAAAAAAGAAAAGCAAGAAATCGAAAGGGATTTTTTCATCTATTGGAAAAAAGGAAAGCCGTGAAGTTACGAAAGTTCTTGTTCCGACTACAGGTACAACAGAGCTGTCGTGGATTTCTCCTGAAAATGGCGGTACTTCGCTGATTGTCAAAGAGGAGGTAAAGATAAGGTCATCTAATAAATAAAAAGTTGAAGTTAATGCTTATCTTAGTGAGAATTTTGTTATTTAGCCGTTATTTCTATAATTTTAATTGAACACACGAAATTGTATTTTATCCTATCAAGTATTCCTTGCAAAAATCTGTAGAAGTTCATGGACAATTACTAAATTCTCACGTAAAACTTTTAATTTATAGCTATTTTCAATGTTTCAATATATGAGTGGATATCTTGAGTTGTAAATTTATTATACTAATTAATGAAGTAGATTAATTGACGTTGTAAGCTTCTTTCAAGAAATTGAAAAAGAATTTAAATAATTTAGATATGATGATGTGTTGTATTATGTGGCTCTTTCAATATTTTCATCTGTAATTAGATAATATTAATTATCGAAAAATATCACAATTTTTAACATTATTTCAATAAGTAATACTTCAGATAAAATTAATGGAACGACTAGGCGAAGGTTCATTTGCGGTTGTCAAACGTGCTGTGTGGACGCCGAAAATGGCGCGAAAATTAGACGTTGCTGCCAAAATTCTGCGTGATTCTACTCCGGAAATAATTGAAGATTTGCAGCGAGAAGTTACGAATATGCAAAAATTAAAACATCCAAATTTAATTCAGCTGTATGGGATTGTTTTTTCAAACCCAGCTATGATGGTAAGTCTTTTTCTGTTTATTTTTCGGTCCATGAATATAAATATGCATTGTACTAAGAATTATGTTATGAACATTGTCTCAATTATATTAAATCAATATCTTGATCTTTACTGGTAATGGTAACAAATTAAAGAATCCATTATTTTTTGCCAAAATTTAGTGATATGATTTTAGGTGGTTGAATTTTGTGATGGTGGTGCATTGATTGATCGTTTACGGTCAACTCAAAAGTCTGTAGTCCTGGTTTCAATGTTGATTGATTACGCGCAACAAATTGCTAAGGTAAAATATTATCTCTGTAGTAAACATAAAACTTTCGAGAATAGTGCTGGCATCGTGGAGATTGTAATTATTTTCAGGGCATGGCTTATTTGGAATCAAAGAAGTGCGTACATCGCGATCTCGCAGCGCGAAATGTTTTGTTAACAAACAATGAGCGTGTATGTTCAAATTTTATTTAGGTTATTAAGGAAGTTCGAATATTCGAAACAAATTTTATTTAGGTTATTAGGGAAGTTCGAATATTCGAAACAAATTTTATTTAGGTTATTAGGAAGTTCGAATATTCGAAATAAAGTCATCTGCTGATAGCATGCTAATGCCAGATACAAATAAGAAAAGGTTGTTGGCGCATTTAAACATTTATTTTTACTCATTCCAAGGATGAATTTGGAATTTGACATTTCACATAAAAGAAAATAAAATCAGTCTGTTTCGTAGAGTTTCCTCCCCATCATAAAACAGTTGATTTAATCTTTGATATATTCAGTTCATTTGTGAAATGGATATCCAAATCGAAGTTAGAAATTTTCATTCTCTTCAGGTTGCTAAAATCTGTGATTTTGGTTTGATGCGAGTACTGGAGAACAATGAAAGACTTTATATAATGTCAACACAGAAGAAAGTGCCGTTTGCTTGGTATGTTTCCTATTTTTATTTTTTGTTATCTGAACAATAAAATCATCATTTACATGCGCATAATCATCAAAAAATGTTAGGTTGAATAACTATAGAAGTGTTAATGCTACCTGGAATGATTACAGTCTTGAAGATGCTTCTGAGGAACTGAAAATTTAATCATTTATTGAAAAAAATTCGGTATTCCATAGTGACTAAAAAGTGTAATATGATAAGGAACAGGCATTAACAATTCATTATGCCGTAATTGGTGATGATGAAGCTTATAATATTTTACGAAGGACGATTTTGGAAATGTTCGATAAACATAGTTTTCTGAATATTCTAGGAATTACTAATTCTCAGATGTGAAGGGTGAAATCTTTGTTAGTGTACTATTACGTCTTTCGTTTGTTTGTCAGATCGGTTTTATATTTTGTTGCAATTTTATTTTGCAGTAAATATTAAATTTGTCCGTTGTAAAGTACATTTTCCAGGTGTCCACCAGAATCTCTGAGATATCGGCAGTTTTCACATGCTTCCGATGTGTGGTCTTTTGGTGTGACATTATGGGAGTTATTTTCATATGGCGAAGAACCATGGATAGGTCTTCGTGGAGTTGAGGTACCATTTTTAAAATCAAATTGAAAAGAAGTAATGATTAAATGTTGATCTAGAAAACAAACCTATATTTTTTTTGCTTCATTGTGGATCTTTTGTGCATATACGCATTTTCATAATTGGACAAAGGAAAAAATAATACATTTTAAAAATAACTAAATTCCTAGACTCGTAGATTGAACCCTTCTTCAATGGATGTACACTCGAAGAAAATTCTAGAGCCTAGAAATTAAGACTGATTAATTTTTTAAGGTACTCACAAAACTAGAGGCTGGTGAACGATTACCGAAACCACAAAGATGTTCCGATGAATTATATGATTTAATCTCTACATGCTGGTCCTTGGAAGCAAATTTAAGACCAAAATTTAACGTTTTAAAAGACATCCTTTCTGAGGTGCTTTCCGAATATGTTTCTTTATGTTTCTTTAAAGATGAAGCGGTCATGAATTTAACTTAATTAACTTACTGATTACCGTTTAGAGAAAATTCACATAGTACACATTTTGAAATGTGTTAAGCTTTCTGTTCTACTATCTTATAGTTTGTAGTTCATAATGAAGGAGCTCCTACATGTATATATCATAATAACGAACAACTGTTTCCTCCACCTATAGTGGCGAGTAAAATTATTGATAAAAAAGCAAATCTATGAAAAATATTTTTAATATGTTCAGATTATGTTTATGGTAGCTGAATGTAGCGAGGCTTCTATGCCGTCACGGGAAATTGATTTAGAACTGGTTGTGAACGATCTTGTTGTTATCATTCGTGGAAGGTACTTTTCACTTTATTTTACTTCCATTTTTGTCATCATATCTGACAATGATATGTAATTAAGATGTTGAATTTCTTGTGTTTTTGATTTATCTGCAACATTTGTGGACATTTCAGCAAAGGAACTGCTGTTAACAAAATGAATACTGTATAAGTAAAATTTTTTATTTTTATTTGGTTACTAAAAATTTATGGAATATTATATCACTGTATCGAAATGGTTTAGACTTCAAGAATAAGATATTTCATTACAGTGGTTTGATTTGGTATGGACAGAACGTAAGGACGCGAAAATTTGGTTCATTTTATCGTTCATCAGTACATTTGCGAAATGAACGTAGTGGAATAAAAAATTCGGAACAGATGATTAATCCATTGCAGCAACAAAATGGATTAGATACTTATATTTCTAAACCAGTACCAGGTATCAATAGGTTTTTTTCTTGATTTAGGACAATTTTATTTTACTATTAAATATATGTTTATGTTTTGCTTACACTATAGGATCATTTATACATGCTGGGCACGGTGACATAAATGTTGAGCAATCTTGGGGTCAGCCAGATTACATCGATGATATATATTTGAAAAATCCTATTCTGAGGAAAGAAGAATCTGCTTATGGGTAAGTCGTTTTACCTGTTTACTGCTTGCTAATCAACACTATACTTGTCTTGTTTGAAATATTCTGTACTCTTTTAAAATCATGTTGTATCACAATTGTTCAATTCGAATTGTAGTCTCTTTATTTTTTTCAGAAGTGGCCAGAAACATTTTGGACCAGAAATAATTCCTTCTCTTGTTGATTTAAAGCCACCTTCATGGATCCACAAGGAGCCCAAAAAGAATGGTAATTCTGAAGCCTATTTTTGATTTTGAGAATGAAATTTTTTTATCCTTCAGTATGATTGTCATGTACTACCGAACTGCTAAAGATAATTAGATCAGATAATATTTTTTAGTCGTTCCATAACTGAGATGTTTCATTGTTGATGTTTTTCTTAAATAACAAAAGTATCTTATTTCAGGCACTGAATCATATATCGATCCTTTTGCACCATTCAGTATTTATTCTTTTGATGGTTTGAACGATAGTGAATCATGCCAGCCTGGCAATGGTTGGTTATATTTTCATTGATAAATAGATACCTTATAAAAATATTATCTAAGCAAAATGTGAGAAAAAGTGCGCATTTAGTAATGATTTAGATAATGATTCCATGTTGAATACTCTATACAGATTTGATTCTTTTTGTTTTATAATCGTATAATTTTGCAGTTATTCACTAGTTACTGTTGTTTCATTTGTCTCGAAAAATTCTATTGAAACTGTTAAGCAGTATGTGTTCTCCTATACGACAGCTTTTGAAAAGTTATGTGAGTATTGAAGTAAAAAATAAATAATATCACATATCTGAACTTCAGGAATGTTAATAAATTTCAGGTATGACGAAACTTTTATCATCTTCTTTGGCATCAAATTTTTATGATGAACCACCATCGGTATCATATTCGCAGAATATAACGTATCCGCTATCTGTGGGTAAGTTTTTCGATCAAAATTTCGAATAATAAAATGATTTTAAAATGAGGAGTGTAAGGATTTCCACTTTAATAGTTTGGTACGTCAAACTTGAACACGATCGATGATTACATTTTGCTTTAGCATTTCTTTACATAGATCTTTATTGCGAAATTAAATTTCGAAGCTCTTTATCACTGTTAATGTACTTCTCAATTATTTTGCCATCAAATCATGTCAGCCAAATATTTATATGGAGCATAACTGATATTTTCTGCCTATCTGTTTTGTAGTTCGAAAATGAAAAAATAAAAATGATTGAAAAAATGAGAAATAATGGAAAGTGGAAGAGGGTATTAGATGGACAAAATAGATGAAATTGCAATAATTACATTTGTAATTCCTGCTATGGTATGGATCCTTACATCCCTCATGTTTAGTTTACCATTTCCAGAACCATTTACATATTTTGAGTTGAAATATCCAGTTTGGATGTTTTAATTATGATTTGCTTAGTACAGTGACGGCAATGGAAGCGCTTCTCTGCAGCCTACACTAAAATCAAAAACTACAGGAAATCTACTTAGGTTTAGAACTTTCAAATTGTTCTGAACTCCTGGTACTAATTTCACACCTAACCATGAATCATTATTTGTCTTTATAATGTACATTTGTTTTTAGAGCAATTTTCGTCTTTGTCGCAACCAGGTCGATCAACATCTGACATCGTATCGTGCAGGTTTGCTTATATAAATGTACGAAGTTGTTATCCACTGCACTGTTACCATCAGTAGTTTAACTAACGAGAATATTTTGAAAGTTATCATGCAGCATTGTTCAAATTTATTTCTGTTTTCGCTTTACTGTTGACTCAACGACTGCGGTATCCTGGGCATTAAGCATATTATTTCAGTGTTACCGTATGGCACAGTTCATTGTCACATAAGCTTTATTAAAAGCGATATAACTCATTTTAAGCTCAGATTTCAGTCTATAATACTTTCTAAACTGAAATTAATGTATCTCATTGTAAAGTCAAGAAGCTAACAACAGATAGACGTATGTAACAATGATCAAGTTACATCTTTTGTCTGAGTATCTTGTATTTTTTTATAAATTAATAATTTCTCAAGTTCATCTTTTTAGTCAGATGCTACGACCATCATTTTCTGGCGCTGATATTACAATGCAGAAGTCACTGCAATCTCTCACAGCTACGGTAGGAAAATTTTCTGGGAATTGTTTGAATTTGATTGATTGATTAATATTTAGGTTTTTACAATTCAAATTCTTTCTCAGAAGGAAGCTGAGATTAAGAGCTTCTCAAAAATTAGCACTTAATTCTGATAACTAACCGGTAAAGATTTGAATACCCTTTAATCTGTTGAACATCCTAATAAAGAGTTATATTTTCGCGATGATATTCAAGATAAGTTTATCTAGTCTTCAATGTATGTCGCAAATATTGTTTTGGGATAGATCTTTGTTTTTTTATGCTGAACATTTTGAAAACGGAGACATGTGAGCGTTTCTTTAAAAAAAAAAAAATTCTAGCAATCAGGTTCTGCTTCTCAGTTACCTTCTACATCGCAGGAACATTTCCAGTCTTCATGTAATTCGCAAAGTAAATCAGGTATGTACATAATATCCATTTTTCATGTACATTTATGACAAAATTTTTCGTGATTGATTTTTAAGCTCTTCTTTTCTGCTTCATTTCTTTCTTCGTATAATACTTCAGTTGTTCAAATTTGTTAGTTTTAAGCAGATATGCAGCGAACATTGAATTATCCGACATTTACTGAAGAAGGACAATGTCAGAATGCAGTTGATAAAAGGCAGATGCAAAATGGAAAAATACCACCGCCAAGACCGAAACCACCAAATTTCAAACAGGTTATTAAATGAGGAAAAAAAATTATTAAACGAGCATTTCCATAGCTTTTCCCCTGTACTATGGTTATCAGTATTGCTTAAGCTATTGGTGCAGTGTTAATAATACAAATAAGCTGTGTTATTGCTTAATAAATATTTGTAGATAACGCAAAATAATATTCAATGGAACACTATGGTAGCAAACAATACTTCCACTTTAGATGATACCAAGCCAAATGCGAATCATTCAACTTCCATGCATTCCGGAATAGATGTATCTAATACATCTTATAGTCAAGACAGTTTTGATCCTTTCGAGGTATATCTTTGCCTTATGAAAAGTTTCACTAAAAGCCGAGTATTCATTATGTTTTGTAATAACTTTCTGTAATATTATTTTCAGATTTCAAAGACTGTGAAAGATATTGCCAGTAAAGGAGGTTACAGTCAATTGTTCAAAGATCTTTCTACATCTGCTAAGGCTGTATGTGTATCCATTATTTTAACATTTTGGACCGTTTTCTCTTGCTGACTTATGCTATTTTGTCTGCTGTTTTTGCATGCAACAATGCTCCCCGGTTATTTCATCCTAGGTCCAGGTGATCCGCTGAACATTGAGATTTGAAAGGAAGAAACAGAGACTTACCCATAAGAAGCAATTTGTCAATCTTGTTTTTCGCTATACTCATTAATGTTACTAATCTCCTTAAATGTTTCGCATTGCTTTACCTATTAAGATGCTTTGAATTTTACTTGTTTACAAATTTTAGAAGTTCTTATAGATTGTTTCACATGACACTACTCATTAGTTAGGCAAATCTTATCTTACTGATTTGTTGCATTGAAGTTGCAGTCGTGATCTTTTCAGGCTTCCGCTAGTTCGCTAAATACAAATTATCAGATAGGAGTGAAACGAAGTTGTAGTCCTAATAAGTTACCGAGACCATCAACAATGTTTCTTAACAATGAACAGTCATCGAACGACAACTATTTTTCATCTTCATTATCAGGATTAACGAAATCCCCGTTCGATATAGGAGTAAGAATTTTTCTTAAAATTTTATTTCTATTTTTTGATAATATAAAAAAATTTTTAAATTCAAATCATTCATATAATGCCAAACTCTTTCCTTTCTTCTGGAATGGGACTGAGTAATGAAGCAGATTTATTCGATAATGTAATTTTTGATGTAGCATAAAATAAAGACCGACATGCTTAACAATCTATATTTCAACAGAAAAAAATTGGATTCTAGACATGCTACTATTGGCAGCCCTCTATTGCTGAACCATCCGTATTGCAGCAGTCTGCTTTGTCATCAACTTATGGAAGTACTCCTTCTTTACTTTACGACTCTCGTAGTAAGTCTCGCTTTGCCTTTTTTGAGATCACATATTTATATGATGATTTTATGAGCTAGGTGCCTTACGATAGAAAACGCAAGGACTGGATATCTTATCAGTCCTTGCGTTGTCTTCTCGTATTGTTACATGAATGACTGATTATACCGATCTTTAATCTGTTCTGTGTACTTCATCCATTACACTTGATGACTTTCTGGCCGATATTTTGATAGTTTCTTAGGCTTCAAGCATATGTCTTCATTATGCCGTCGTTTTACATTATTGTTGCTTCTGCTCCACACCTTAATTATTTGGATTACATTTGGTTAGAGTTAGTTCACTTAAAAATGAAATAAATTCAAAATTCATTAGCATAATCTGTTTTAGTTGATAGTTGCTTTTACTCAACGATTTAAATTGTTTAATTACTTGCACTGATATTTCTTATTGTTCTTTTTTCTTGAAATAAAACTTACTTTAGATGTCCGATTAAATTCAAATAAGCCGACGGCAAATGAAGTATTTTGCTCTTCACGACCTGCAAACAACAGCTCTCTTGTGAATTCTTCGCAGCAAAGGAATTCTTATGTAAGCTTTCGTTTTTAAATGATTGTTCCTTTTGTAATTCATCTGTAAAGAGTGATAAAATTTGAGACATTTAAATCTGATTTTACAGTTAACTAGATTGTGGTATACATTCTGAAGAACTGAAAAGTTCTTTTCTTTTTTTTCAAGTCCGTAAGAAAAAAAATTAAACAGTTTATTATGAAATACTGAAAATCACGGAAGCACAATGAATAATAATAATAATAGTAAAGAAATCCTATTATAA